CATTCCACTGGGTGGCTCTTCTTGTCCACTGTTTCCAGATTGAATTAGAATTTGGAATGTTGGTTTTTGCAGATGGAGGAAAACTGGAAGACCCGGAGAAAAACCCTTGGGGCAAGCATGAGAACCAATAACAAACTCAACCCACATATGATACCAAGTCCAGGACTCCAACCCAGGCCACAATGGTGGGAGGCAAGCAGTCTCACCACTGTGCCATCCCTGCTCCCCACTGGTTCCAAGTCAAAATCCAGTGAGGAAAAATGTTTGGGCAGCATTTCAAGGAAAAGCTTTCTGAACTTTAACAGCAGCCGAACAAGGAGCACTTTTCCCCTCTGTATGTAATTAACTTTTAATACATTCAAATCACGTTTAGAAAAATCCCTAGAGAGGCACAGGTTTTTGAACCTATTTAATGCATTCATATAACATTTGGAAAAATCCCTAGAGAGGCACGGGTTTTTTAAGCAGAACGTGTTTTATCGGGTCTAAATACACTCAGCTACGCCTCGTGTTTTTAAACCCGATAAAACACTGCTGTTCATTTTTTAAATAGTACAAAAACTTTCAGCTCTTAAATGTTCCTGCAAACATCTCCAAAACAAATCATTGTTCACAAACCTGCATCCTTGTTTTAACAACATCAACAGGAGTGTTGCCAAAGACACTAGCTGCACCAGCAACTCCACCAATGCAAAACGTTTTTATAAAGCCAATGTCTACACTGGGATCACCTCCTTGAAGATAGTTCTTCAGGTTGGAATATACAAAGAATCGAATCATCTGATTGCTCCCCTGCTTTATTACTGTGGCTGTTAGACCCTTGTAGACTCCACCCAATCCTAAGATCGAGAAAACAAAAGTGAGCAAAAAAAATAGCTCATTTAGTACACTCGTGATCCTAGCTGAGATCCAAATGAAATGTAGATCACTAGGTCACTTCTCTATGATTGATTAGAAGTACCTCCTTTCAGTGGACTGATTCAATTTAACTGTTTCATGATTAAAACTTCCGGTATAAACCTGAGAATGTTTAACTCACCCTCTGTTCTTACAATAGTTCCAACACCACTAAAGAAACCCTTATATTTTGGATTTGGTTGTGTCTGATCATGAATAAACTTGACTTTGACAGTTTCCATTGGACACACTATGACAACAGCCTCTGCTACTCCTGCTCCTAGACCACAGAGGAGTGTCTGTACTTGTGTTAATTTACCATTGTCATCTGCCATGTTATTTTTCAGGAACTCAAACATTGCAAATCTGCACAATCAATTAAACAATATTTATTAGTGAGTTTCCTCCTGTGTGGAGACAGGCATCGAGAGAGAGAAATGTTTTGTCCATGAATACAACAAAACGTCCTTCCAAACTGAGGTCCAATATTTTAATAATAAGGACACTGCATCTGTTACAACTTTAATTCCATATATTAAAAACATTTTCTGTTTGTCACTAAAATATGAGAGATCAAAGTCCAAATTCCACTCTAAAGATATGTTGGAAGAAAAAAAATTCTTAATCTTCCATACAGATAAAGAAAGAAACATAGAAACATCAAATTTACCAGATAAAAATAATTTGAAGGGCTGAAAACTAATTGACCAAGATAACATCTTGGGCCTTCTCATTACCTGTTTGGTGGACAATGTATGGATTTTGTTGGGAGAAATTATATGTTAATTACCTCTGGGAGTTAGAGGGTTTAAGTCCACACATTCCTCTAGAACTCAAAGGAACGATTGACTTCTTTTGAAAAAATATCTAAAAAAAAAAAAGTTAATTTTTCCTCACCTTACAGATGCTTTTGGTATTGAGCCATACAACAAAGAACTAAGACCTCTATAGAGTCCAAAAAACCCATGATTTTTTACTGTTTTCACGGCACAATCAAGAGGACCCTTGTACATGGGCTTTGCTGCTCGCTCATCAAGTTGTACTTGGGTTTTTACATACTCTGTTGGAAATGTGCAGCAGATTTCAAGTCCACCAGCAATACCCCCTGTTCAAACAAAATTCGTGTCAAGGAATCAGTTTTAATCTGCAAAAGATTTTAGAGTACTTAACGAGAACAATCTTAAAGAATTGTTTTTTCACATACTCTAAAGTTATGTCTAGTTCTAAGAGAGAAGAAGGTATCATCAACACAGGGCACTTTATCACCCTCTCTCCTTTCTTATCTGTGCATTTTATCTGTAATTAAATTTAAAAAAGATGTGAATGGATGTAATTCATATATCGTAAAATATTCATTGTCAGTCAGCAGGAAAAGAGTACTTTCCTCTCAAAGTAGACAAGAATATCAACAAAATAAGTAGACATTAACTCCAACAAATATTTTGAGAGTGGCAGACATTTTATCTCAGTAATAAATTTCCAATTTAAAGAAATTTACTATACATGTGATGATAGTTTCAGTTCTGGACATATGATAAAAATCTTGTGATGTTGTAATATCACAAACTTTTCGCAATTATCCACCATTAACATCATCCCATCAGAATATTGACTAGTCACGCAAGTCAGAAATTGCGCAATGATGACGTCCGACACACCCCCGAAACACCCATGACCCATGTTTGTGATATTGATTCTAAATTCATAAAATATTTCATCAAGTTTACTCGTCACGAATTCCTCTTCTTCAAGAGGTTTACTACCTTGTTAGCCTTTAATAAAATGTTAGTAAGATAGTTGTGTATTGAAAAGTATCAGCCGTTATTAAAGATTACAACGCGTTCTGATTTACCGTGAGTGTGTTTTGTTCAAGTGAACACGTCCACACGTAAAGTTCTCACATCAGGAAAATTATTCTGCCACGTAGAACAAAACCTATCTCTCGTTTCAGTTTAGACAAAACAAAAAAAAATCGATATCTTTTCGGCGATATTTCATATGGCCCTAATTACGATAACTTTTCGAACCGCCTTTTGGTGAAATGCGTCACGAAGCGAAGGATTTGATCGACCTTTGTACTTTCAAGGTTAAGCAAGGGCAATGCAAACAGTAACGATCGAGATAGAGTTTAACGATCGACATAGAGATAGAGTTTCAATAAAAAACTTTCGTCCTCTCCACGAAAAATAACAGCTCATGCGTCAAAATTTAATGTTCTTTCACTAAGTCTATAATCTAGTCGCCGAAACATGCTCTGGCGGCAAGTGGTCCCCATATTTAAACTACAAAAAACACCCACTTTTTACTCTGTAAGCTTATAGTTCATTGATCGCAAGCACTTGAATTTTCTCTCATAATTGACAGAAGCTGGTTCAAACAAACAGATATCAGCCTTTAACTATTTTTGATAAAACAATATTTCACAGCTGAAAAACTAAAGAAATTACTCCTTTATTAAAATATAATTACCGTACCAGCGAGGATGGCTTTCCCTGGATGCCGCCTGCCTCTTCCTCCGCCAGCAGGAGCGGCACACAAAAACCTACTTCGATAATAAGTGGCAGGATCGGGTGTCGCAACCAGTGCTCCTCGATTGCTATTTTCTGGAGAAGACATCGTTAAATCTGTATTACCAAACTAACTCCTCGCTTGAAACTCTTCGAAACAAAAATTGTCGACGTGAAACAGGCATCACGAATGACCCGTTGAGTACGGCCGCTGGTCACTTATGTGGGATGACCATGTAGGGAGGGCTCATGATTGGCTCATAACAATCTTTTTGTTTGGTAATGTAATGTCACTTTTTCTATGTAAATTCACTGCAGGATCACAATACAAATGGAATGTTTGGTAAACCCTCGATGTTATTGATTGACGACAGCATTAAAATGAATATTTATATCGCCAAAAATAATGAGAGTTTCAGTGCCTGTCTGCTGATAAGGAATATACTGATAGCATGCGTTATAGGAGAGGCCTGCACGTGCTAATGCATAAAGTTAAATTGTGATCAATAAGCTTAAAAAAGAACAGAGAAATGGATAGCCTGTCTAACTTTTAAATTGTCGAGTCGCGTGACCAGATGACGATAGATTTATTACCGAAAAATAAAATAATAAAGTTTGTTTACACTTCTAAAATTTTGATACAAAAGTGCTATGAATAACTATGAGGGGGAAAGCGAGGTAACAACTTTCACCAGCACGTGAGAGTATGCAAGAAAAGGAAGAGGGCAAGATAGCAGACAAACAAGTACTGAACTGAAAGGCTATATCTACGATTGGTAATATCTCTTCTAGCTTTTCCCTGTACGCGTCAGTTGCTTCCGTTTCGTTGGTCAGTTCTCTTGTTCACCAACTGACGTCATCTTTTGAACAAGGCGACTTGGTAATAACAATTTGTCAAATTCTTCCAATGAAGATGCTACTAGACTAGGATCGCTTTCTTAAGGATACTGTGAGGACTTCATAAAGATTCTTCCTCTTGAGATTTTTTTTCTTTCTTTTATTTAACCTTGGCCACACTCTTTATCACACCCCGTCTAAGTAGGTTGCAATCAAGGAAGTTGCGCAGATTTTAGATCGATTAAAATCTAGTCTAGACGGTGGGCTCATAGTTAGTCCCCTCTACTAAATATGGTGGGCTTCACCCAAGAAATAGTTACGTTTTTTAATTCATCTGGCTTGGTATGGGGAGCCTGAAATAAATACCATTTACTCTGCCGTGCGTCGTTAAGAAAAAGGCGGGGGTTCCCGTTCAATGGACCGTTCAAAGATCTGCGTCATAACTCCCAGTATTCTTGTTTGAAAATAAACTTTCCTTGGATAAATAGAAACCATGAAATAAAAGCTATTTAAGCGAGACAGAAACTAAAGACCAAAATTACAAAGAAACGAGAATGGTTCAGTTTTGTCCAATGCTTGGACTTCAAGTGACCTTGAAAATCTTAATTTATTTTTCCGTGATGCCGAAGCGGTAAAAGGTTACTTTGTGGACCCTGACGTAAGTTAAATACCTCGTGGTTTCCTTTTTTTTTTAATCATTTTCATTTCTTATCAGTTTTGCTATATTGAGACGTATTTGAGACGTAATGGCGTTTCTGTTTGTTTATTATTTTTTTTTAAAGAGGGGCTTGTTCGAATCGAAATGACAACCGAAAACGAGTGTGCGCTCCCAGGTCAGCAGAATCTAAACTTTAAGATGGTGCTTCATGCAGGCTATCGCACATATTTCTCCTACAAGAACACGTACAGGCATCACGCACGTACACCTTTACTGCCACCAAACTATCTTTAATAAAGACCAAGTATACTCAATACCACAACATATCTCTGGATTTATATACAAGTAGAGTTACTCAGCGATAAAAATTCTAAGAAATTTTCTCAGTGGACCTTGACTGACCCCAGTCAAGTCAGTCTCTTCACAAAGCTATCAGCTCTTATTAGTATTGCTGACGGATCCACTAGACCATAGTTAATCGAGGGAGAAGACCCCAAAGTTAACAAGAGAATCTAAAATCATATCAAAAAATATTGAGTGACCTGGCGAGGTAGACTAATATACCTTTTCTTAATGGACTAACGCCCTTGGACTGTGACCAACCGACTACTTTTCTCAGATTATTTATCAAAACGTCAGAGAGGCAAAAATGCTTATCGCAAGGCGAGGTGTACCGTTCGTGTTTTCGATTCATTCCCAAGGTTCTAATACTACAAAGTTAGCCAAGCTGTTTGTGAGCGACACCGTCGACAAAGACTAACATTTCTGAATCATAGTTGGACAGACCGTCTTTTTGTGATCGTTGAAATTGCGCATTACATATTTTACAAGAGCTCGTAGCATGCGTGGCTGGCCTAAAATGCGAGGAAAGAAAAGAGAACTTATCAGAGTGCGGGGATCTGGTTACGAACAAGAAAGAAACACCTGAAAAGAGGTCGTGTTCTCCAATCTGCTGCTTCAACCGTAAGCACCCTCGGGACCCAACGATCCCACAGTTTTCCCCTCCCCTCCCTCCCACAGCCAGAAGGCCATCCGGGTCAAAGAGATTGTTGCTGTTTCCATCGCCAGAGTTCGCTGATTCTTACGTAGTTGTGAGTCGGTCTGCAAGTTGAATCCCAGCCAGCACAAGAGATACAAAATTATATGTCTATTTCCGGCTGTGTTTTTTAAATTAAACCTTTATGTCTGATCCAGACGCGGCCACTCCCTATAGATAAATATCAACAGCCAAGAAAAAAAAAAAAAAAAAAAAAAAAAAAAAAAAAGAAATTAGTCCGTGAACTTTTACCAGGACTTCAAAGAAGAGTAGTGTTAAGGTACACGGAGGAAGACAAAAGAGGATGGCGAAACTGTGAAGGATATGAAATCTGGGAAAAATTGAACCCAAGACATTTTGATTTTAATGTCTCCACTGAAAAACAAGAGCCACTAATAGAGGGTGTAGAACGGAAGAACACGTGGAGTTGGCGTACTCGTATCGAGACCCCCTTCAGAAAAGAAGTTGATTGAAAGTTAGCCCTTAAACATGGCTTAAACGTGTTCCCAACTTACGTATAGCACTAAAACAACAACAACGACGACGAGAAAAGAACTCCTGATTGTAGGTTAACATTGCTGATAGTTGCGTCTTCTACGGGAACACGTGTCTTCATTATCGCATTAAGCGCGCTACGTTAGGTTCAGATAAACAGCCCAATGTTATCAATCGAATCACTTTTAATGAAGTTAAATGACCTGTTGTTGAGTTCCCCACATGATGTAATTAGCTTTTGTAGCGGCTTGATATTCCTCAATCAACTGTTGAACAACTTCTCTGTAAAAAAGAAAAAAACAAAAACAAACAAACAGACAAAGCATCAAACAAATGCGTAACAAGAAGAACGATGCACACATTTTCCAATCTGATCTAAAGCGCATCGTCACTTTTGCCTCCCTCAAACTAGTTAGTGCTCTAAATTTAATGGAAAATTTAATGAGATTATTTAGCCACTAGAATATGGAGATTCAATAATCACACTAACAAATGACCCTTTCACTTGACAAGTTCCCCTTTTCTCACCTTGAGGCATCAAGCTCGTCGAAGTTGTCCTTGAAAATCTCCTCCTTTTTATAATTTTCCAAGAAGGCTTCCCTCTTCCGAAGTTTGTCAAAGAGTCGGCAGTTCTTTTCAAATACCTGTTCACAAATGCATTGGTGTGAGTCAATGCCAAGTTACCCCTTATTTGAACAAATAAATAAGCTTTTTGTGATATTTCAAAAATTGAAAGCACGGACTGAAATCTAATTTGACTCACAGTTGATATACTTGTGTGATTTGCCAACATCAATCCGCTTACTCTGTGTGCTGTTTGTACATACGGAGATTTTCTTGACAATGCAACCTGAATTTACGAAACAAATTATGTCAAAAGCTTTAATGTATTAAAGAAAGAGTTGACACTCAATTGATTTGGGCAGTTTTGAAAGACCAATTCTAACACGTTTGGAGAATGTCACATATGAAACAAGGAGTTATCAGAAATAAATGTAGACTAGTGTTCTGCTTCATACTATTGCACGCATGCGCTGTTTTGTTCTTCTGTCAAACTCAACAATCCGACACATAACCTTTGAACTCTTTTATTTCTTGTTTTTGTAATGTTCACTTCACTTCTAGGTACCTGTTTGTCTTTGTTGCTGTTACCTGAATACTGGCTGGTCCCCATGGAATGAATTCTGCGAGCTTTCTTTCTCTGATACGCTGGAGGCTCTTATGAACCTTGAATACAAAAAGACGAACAGTTGTTCTCAAATAGCCCACTCAATAAGCCAAGAAAATAACATCTGATTCCACTAATAAAGTGATATTTATGTACCTGTGTGGGGTCAACTTCTCCTTGGATGATGTTGAGAATGGAGATGTAACAGTGGTTGTGTTTCCTGTCTCTCAGTGTTGATACCATTACGTTTTTAGGCTTAAGGAAAGAAAGAGAAAATTCAAGCAAAAACTAAAAAAGGAGATCGACTCTTTATTCGTAAGTGAAATACGCTGCTTATAGGTTTGTCTCTTTTACATTAATTCAATAACATCTTTTTCTGTTAAGCTTGACATCTACTCTTACCTGTAACAACCTTCTCATAACATCAAGGACTGTTGTTTTACGAATGTTAGCCACCTTCAAATCAGATAGAGAAGAAAGTCAAAAGGAAAGTAACTGAAAAATTAATGTTTTTTTTTTGTAGTGCAATCAGATCTAGCTGAGAGAGAATTATCCTCCTTTGCAACCTTTGAATATGAAAGCAATCTTCACACTAATGAACACTACTTGAGCAATAGAAAAAAATAAGGCCTGTACGGGATTTGAACCCATGACCTGTGGGATACCAGTGCAGTGCTCTACCAACTGGGAGCTAGTCATTAAGTTGGTTCATAATAAACCCTTGAAATGATGAATATATGACTTTGCAGCCTTTCCTTGATCTCCTAAAGGAACACTCTCTCTCTTATCATAGAGAGTATGTTGCATAATAAGACCTATCAATAAACAGCTACAAAAAAAACCAGGAGAGATGGTGAAAAGGCAATATAGTTTAAGCTCTTCTAATGTACCCTCTAAGGGTGATGAAATATTTAGATAAACTGCGGTGGACTAGACTCTCATTCAGAGGGCAGAGCTCTACTCCAGGTTGCTTCACACTACATAATCCCATAACAATGTGGGTCAATCACCCATGCTCCTTTTTTTTGCTCAGTATGTCTGCTTGCAGAAGATTTAGCAACACTACATTTATTACCTGTAGAAAGACCATTTAGCTAAACAGTAAAAAGTTACCTTCTGATCAGTAGTAAGTGGAGTGTACCCAGTCATGAGGAAATGTAACCGAGGCGTGGGAATTAGAGATGCAATCAAACCAATCAGATCATTGTTCATGTAACCTTGAACAAAAATTATCAAAAATGACTTTTAACTAACAAATTGACAAGCAACTGCTTCCAGTTGTCTTCGTTTAAGGAAGAGGGAAGCATGGTGTGGTAAGTTACTCAAGACATGTGTAGCCGTCTACCTTTATCAATTGTCACGTCTTCAAAAGGGGGGAATCAAACTGTTAAGATAAAGAAAAATTCAGGTTTTTCTCAAGTTTTACTGCAAGTAGATGTGGCTGAAAAGTGGGCCAAGTTGGGAATGACCTTCAGAGTACATTGTACCTTTACATCATATTCCCTATGCTCCTCAGCCTTCTGACTTTTGATAATAGCTGATGACTATGCCTTATTTACAGAATCTTGGAGGTTGTATCAAATAGGATCAAACAAAATTTATACCTATTGTAAGTTAAATTATTCCTAAACATAAAATTAACATTGCTAGCCCAAGTTCTATGTTAATTACGACTTGCTCACCTGGATATCTGAGAGTTGTTGTACTTGTAGCCATGATTGTAGATACCTGTTAAAAAATGTTTAGACAAATTATAACTATAGCAGATTCTGGAAGAGTTTGATATTATTTCCTTCCCTCTTTGAAAAACTTGCAAAACCAAGAGTTCAGACTCATCAGACCAAAGATTAAAGAGCAGACTTTCATATGAGACAAAATTTCAAATCTTTTTTATGCATTTCAGATATTTTTGTATGTAGATTATGAGGATTTATCCATTGCACTAACCCACTTTTTTTTCCCAGTTTTTCAGGGATTTTTCTCTATATTGGTCCAATGCAGAGGACAAGTCTGATAGGGCTTCACTTTCCATTTCTTGTATATTTAATTTAGCAAGTAATACCTTTCATCCAATTCCTTTTAAAACAATAAATTTAAGCAAAAAGTTTGGCGAGCCTGAGTGGCTGAATTTTTAATTGCAGATGTAAAGTAAATGATGGGGTAAAGGTAAATGCCATGACATACCAGTTGATTCACTTGAGAAAATGTTGGATTTTGTATGTGCAACCTGTCTGCTGCTATTCTGTTGAGAGCTGTATTGTCAAGAACAACCTTCAAATAAAATCAGAATTACAGTCATCAGACCATAAATCATGGTCTAGAAACCAAATACTTTTGAAGTCCAATATCTAAAGGTACTTGTGATGTTAAGAAGGTGAGCCCAGTTGAGATTCCAAAGACTGCTATAATCTAATAGTGCACATATTGCCATGCTAAAAATTTTGACAACAGATTCCTATCCTTTACATCTTGATTCTGATGGCCACTTGACAATTCTCCTGACAAATTGGTGCACAGGTTTTGTCCATAATACATACCACACAATCTGCATTTTGAGTTAGTCGTTTGAGCGTAAGTATAGAGTTGTAGGGCTGTACTACAACATCACTGATGTCTTCCTGTGAAACAAGAACAGCTACCATTAGATATACACAGAGAACAGGTAAACTTCTGGAAGGTGAACATATTAACCATTACACAGATTGTCGAGTCATCCTGATTAAAAAATGCTAAATATACGATGTAGCAACTTTTCTAGGTAAGTAAACCAGAGAAATTTAATTAAGACAGTTTTTCACCTGCTGAGGAAACACAGAGTATGTTTGAATCAACTTCTTTGGGAATCTATGGAAAGATATGTTGAGTAAAAATCAAGTTGTAGACTTCTTTAAATTACTCTCACTTTGGAAGTAGCTATGATAGCTGACACATGGGTTACACAAATCTCATTGACAGCAATAAAACTTAATACTACCTATAATAGAATCATCAAAGTAAAAAAGACCGCAGAAATATCCAGCATCCTTTCATCTGTTGTTGTGATTTCCAGTCCCTAAAAGCCTCCATGTTTAATCTCAGCAATTAAATTTTACAACACCTGTCATTAAGTTTTTCCAAGAGATATGATCCCATACCAGATCCTGTCCCACCTGCTATGGAATGACACATCACAAAGCCCTACAACAACAAACAAAAAAATTATCATTCAAACAGTCCACCAGTTGGTTAGTCATGAGCCAATCAGTTTGTCATTAAGACAGTCTTTAAGTCACCCCGAAGACACTCAATCAGCCCAACAGTTAATAATTCAATCAAAGAGTCAGTCAATCAGTTAAGGTAGTAAAATGTAAGGCAACCTGCAAAAAATTATTTCAGCCAGTCACTTTAATGAGTGAATGAGTAAGGATGTCAGTGACTGTAGTGTATTGTACCGGAAGTGTGAAAAGGTTGTGTTTGTAGGCATCCCATGATGCCTAGTGAAAGTTGTTGTGGTATTCGTTGGCTGCCATGTGGATAGTGTAGATTACAGTATTGAAATCAAAGAACATCGAGGGTTTTTATTGCCGTATTTACCAATTATTCGCCAAAGGTGAGGTGAATATCGTCAAATAATCCCCGAGACAAAGTCGAGGGGATTATTCGACAAAATTCACCAAACCTGAGGCGAATAATTGTTTTAGTATAATTTCAGAGCTGAACAACAAAGAAATTTCTAAAATCATAACATTTTAGTAACGTTTATTAACATTTTTGGTTTAACATTTTATATAAACTGCGCGGAGCGGTTTATATAGCGTCATATAAGGAACAGCTCGACCAATCAGATTGCTGGAAACTCTTTGTTCAGCTCTGAAATTATACTAAATCCAAATATCACAGTGACCTTGATGTTAAGAAACTTAGACAGCCATATCTTTCAGAATAGAACCTTAGAATGATTCAGGGAAGACAGCAGAGTGAAAGTACTTAGTTCTAACCAAACAGACCTGCACATTACTTTACCTCTAAACTATCACTCCCATCAGCCTCTCTGTCAATTATATCAAAAGTTTCTTCATGGAGACGTTCAGCCTGAAAAAGGAAAATTGAAAGTTAATTTTTTAAAAAAATTACTGATATCAAAATTACAAAATTTGTATAGGCAATGTACAGTAATTTTGGATGTGAGGTAAGAGAACTGGATCAAGCTTGTGGAGCCAGGAGTTGTTGGTAAAATTTCTAGTGAAAAGACTAGTTCTTTAGCTTGACTTTTCATTCACTTTTTTTTAATTTCAGATGACAAATGGTCAATATTTTTCAAAACTTTCTTAATACAACAGTGTACCAAGAATGTATTTGCTCTATCCCATCATTTTTTTCAACAGGAATTCACTCTGGCTAATTTTCTAGGCTTGAAGGAAATGAACATGCATGGAACTTGCCCATCACCTGTGAGTATCCACTGGCCCAGTTGTTTCCAGCTCCTCCCCCATGCTTTGATGTGTACATATTTTCAGGGTTATACAAGTTGGCATATGGTGATGATGTGATTGCATCTATTACTCTAGGTTCTAAATCTAAGAGAACTGCTCTGGGGATGTAGTGTTCATCATCTGCCTGAAGAAATCAAATTAGTAAACATTGCTTATAATCCTTTACATCATCAGCATGCGTATTTGCCATACTGTTCTCTATACATTTCCTAAGGTGCTGACAAGGAGAATTTGTTTAATAATCCAGAGCTCCTTTAATTGATCATTTTAGTTATTCTTGTGACCTTAATGTTAATATTGCAAGAAGAAATTGGTTGCTGGTCCCTCTTTGGGATTAAAGCTTAGAATCAGTATATAACACGGGCTCCATTCCCATAAACGTTTAAAATATGAATTTGCTTTTCCTGCCTTACCTGATAGAAAAACACATCTTTTCTGTCAGTCCCATCGGTAGCAAAATCTTCAAGGATTCCATCTGTCAATCAAGAAAGACCAGTTCATAAATACAAATATTGAGTTTCAAAACATAACCCCTTAATGAACAAAGAATTTTCAGTCTGCATACAAGTCCTATAAACAAACTAGATTTGCAACAATAAAATAAAGAAGCTCCACATGATTAATGGAACATATGCCATTCTTGTTTTTCTCGTTGCCATGTTCCCACCAATAACGTAGCTCCATTCTCTGCCTTTAAAAGGACACACAACCCACAATTCCTCTATTCGCTCCGACGAAGGGCTAACGCTCGAAACGTCAGCTTTTGTAATCGTTACGGTGGCCAATTTACCACTTCAACTTTGTTGATATATCCACGTTATATGCCAAACTAATCGAGTTGTAAAAACTAGCTTATATATTTCGTGTAATGTCGTGAATTGACAAATGCCAGAGGCCCATCCCACAAACTTACCTGGTCTTATTCCGTGCTCAGCACAAAGCTGCTTCCAAAACTCCATTCCAACTGTTGAATGAAATGATTTGAGTCATGCTGAGAATTAAAGCTCATAACAAGATCTCAAGCAACTACACAATACAGGGCACGTTTGAAGGAGCAGATATCTAGTCTATTGGCTCGTTTGGCTCGGCAGTGGATGAAAGAACGAAGAATAGAGAATATGTGCGTAGCAAACAAGCAAAACGAGCAGTTTCGTTTGGTGAATGGTTTAAAGTGGCCCTGTATTCTGTAGTTTAGCCCAAGATCCATGAAAAGCTTACGATAACTCTAATAACTCTGTGTCCAATATAAACGCAACCACTAAATTCAGCAGGTAAAGCTTAGAGAATTATTTTTCAGCGTTAGAAATTAAACTTACTTTGATTTCCACATTGTCCAATTTGTAAAGTTATAATTTCACGTGGCATTTCGAATCAAACTGCGACGATACAGAAACGAAAACCCCTTACAAGGACCACCAGAACCAAGTCAAAAATGGCGGCAAATCTATGTTTCGTATCAGCGGTAGTCGTTTCCGGGTTAGAGCGAGGTGGGAATGGGTCGGAGTACGGGTAAACGAATAATTTTTCTTCCCTCGTAATCTAATTTTACAAAATTCCTGAAAAGAAAAACTAAACATTTGAGTATCTCTGAAAATGACGCAGAGCAAATTGTAATGAAGAAAACTCATCAATTGAGGCCCCTTCTAATTAAGTAATAGAGGGGCAACTACAAGTGCTAATCCTTCCTCCATTCCCCCCCTTCCAATGTCAATGTTGTTTATGCAGCAGATTGCTGATTTCCAATGGCCGCTAAAGAACTTGTCGAGGTTCTGCTTCAAGTCAGCGAAAAATCCGCCAAGATTGCACGAGCATGGCGCTGTCAGGCGGAGCTTTTTGAATTGATGGTTGAAGAGAAACCAGAGAAGGAGAAGAATGAGCAATTTGTTCGCGATTTTAAAACGCTGGCCGACGTTTTGGTACAAGAGGTCGTGAAACATGATGTTACGCTGAAAGTGAGCTGATTGTTAACAATTTTTTGAACGCTCGTTCCTTAAACAACGATCGCGTCATCATTGGAGTTTAACTCTTTTTTCTTTTTTCTCTTATTCGTGTAGTTTCCTGAACTGAGAGGCCACATTTTGGGTGAGGAATCCAACATATTCAAAAACAGCTTTGGCCAAGAATTAAGAATTGAGGTTCTAGAAGACTCCGAATCCACTTCAAAACATCTGACTACAGTGTTATGCGGAAATGAGATTGCTGCTCGACTACTCGCAGAGCTCATTCATACTGATATCGTTTTGGAAACGGAACAAATAAAAGAAATGGAGGAGCAGTTGGATTTTGAGCTTCCTCTGAATGAGTTAGGAATCTGGATTGATCCCATCGGTAATTTAATTATATGATTGTAATAGATGCCATTTAAAATATTGAACAGGGTGACTTAGGGTGGAGTGCATTTTAAGATGCTTTCATGCCTTTGGTAAGATTTCCGAACAGCTCTATAATCATTATGCAATAGTTCTTGGATAAAAGAAATGATGTTGTAACAATAGATTGCCTTCAGGATTACAGCTTTGCTTTACAATAGTATATGGGACTGTGTGGAAATCTTACCATTACTTTTGAAATGCATTGGTTCAGATAAGGTTAATAATGAAGTTCTACTGGGTTCAAACAATTTCCTGTTGAACATGGCTTGTTACCTCCAAATTATCACATAATTCCTCTCTTTGACTGAAAATTTAATTTGGATAGGCACTGTTACTCATATATATTTCCCCATTGTCATAGCTAATGTTTTTGGACATCACAAATAAAAGTCATTCACAAAGGGTTCATTAAGTTTGTTACAGTCACTTACTACAGCACCCTCAATTAATAATACACAAACTTCTTTTGCCAGATTCTACAACAGAATACCTGTCAAATTCTCCAGGGAAGGAAGTTGATGGCATTGTAGTTTCAGGGTTACCCTGTGCAACTGTTCTAATTGGAGTATTTCATCGTGAAACTGGTATACCTGTGGTTGGGGTTATTAATCAGCCATTTTCTACGTTAATCCAAGAGAATACAAGTGAAAGACATTGGAAAGGAAGAAAGCTCTGGGGAGTATGTTATGCTGGACGTGCCTGTCATTTCCTGGGAAATAAGTGGAAGTCAAATAAAGCATCAACTGACACCCAAATAAGTAATAATTTTAAGGTAATAATAAGTGGTAGTGAAAGTGAAAATGTTAAGAAGACTCTATCATCTTCAGGAATATGATTATTTCCAAGTTCAGGTGCTGGCAACAAACTTCTTCATGTGATTGATGACAATGTTGATTTCTTTGTCCTTTCTGGTGCCTTTTCCTTCAAGTGGGATACCTGTGCAGCACATGCAATTCTGTGCTCCATGGGGGGAGGAGTGGTAAGTTTTAAAGAAGCCCTGTTATTGAAATCAACTACAAAGGAACTTGATAAGACAACCCTTGATAAATGTGAGCTTAAATACAACAAACCTGATGGTGACTGTGGGAAGAAATGGAGCAATAGCAATGGACTGATAGCTTTTAAATCTTATCAAAGAGTTTTTGAGCTCTTGGAATGTTTATGTTCAAACTAAGTAAGACAGATGTCTAACAAAACAGAGCAGATATGCATAAAGAAGCTAGGTTGTGTTATTTCAGGTAATTCTGTGTATTTTCAACAGCTAAGACTGATTGTTGCTTTAAGTTAAAATGGGATATTGTTGAAAAAGGTTGAACCAAATATTTTTGAAAATTTACTTTTTCAAACAATTTCTGTTTTGGTACTCTTCTGACAGTCATACCATTGGACACAGATGTATAAGTGTGTACAAATGTCAATTCAAATTTTCTTTGTGGGCCTACGATAGAGGCATTGTATGTAATGCCAGAACAAAGACTGACAGTTGAATTGGCCTTTATACTTACAATATACACCGTATTGATGTACAGGTATCACATTGTTAAGATCAGCGTAAAATTCTTTTAGTTTAGCTAGAAACTACATGGGGCTTGTTATAGAGCAATGTTCATATTAGCTAAGAATTATTTGTTTTAACGTATTTAAATTATTTGTAAGAAGTCAGCTTGTATGACTTCATAGAAGAGCAGAATAGTGGTTTCCATTTATAATACTCAAGACATACAGGTTGGGTTGACTAACATTTTATTTCAGTCACCTCAAATAAGGAATAACACATCCCGGTTAGCTCAATGGATAGAGTGCTGGATTGTTGTGCAGGAGGTGGAGGGTTTGAGCCCCGGCCGAACCAACACTCAGGGTCTTAAAATAATTGAGAAGAATTTGCTGCCTTTCTAGAACATCAAGAAATGGTTAGATATTCTAGTCCTCTCGGATAGGGACGAATAAATGGAGGTCCCGTCTCCTGCAGGGTTGGGGTAGGAGACGTTAATTTCCCACACACGAGATTACTGTGTGATGGATGTCCTCCCCTGGGTGGGATGGGTGGGTTTACAGAGGGCCATGTGTTAGAAAACTCTTTACTGGGTTAATCATGTATTTACCCTCTTGAAATAAAGAACATTGTATTGTATTGTATTGTATTGTATTATGGTATATGGCCATTGTAGTTCTCTGTTAATATTGTGGGGATCAGAAGTTAGCAAAATCTTAAGAAATTCAGTGACATGGTGATCATGACAAAGAGATACCTGGGTTTTTAGAAAGAATTATAACTACTTTAAATCATAGTATATAAAGTTAGTAATAATATACCTGAAAAAAGTGTGCATGTCTGATTGGGGTCATGCAATTTTGTAGTCTTTGGAAGATTTACTTGTGCTTATTTACACCAAATTGCACAAGAAATCTTGTTATTCCCTAAACTAACCGCAACACGTGTATGAAAAATATTTAATAAAAAGAAGGACACTTCTATTTGCAAAAGGACAGGTTATTGTGTCAGTATCTGATAATAATAATTAATACTAACACTAATACTAATAATAGTAATGACAATAAGAACATTTTAGTTGTTTCATGATAAAATTTACCAGATCCCCACATAAGGCTCTCTAATATTCTTATGATCCCAACTCATTGGCATTCAATTTTCCATAGTTCTCCATTAGTGAAAACCATGGGAAACCCCAATATCGTCCAACCCCCCTTCCCCTAATCCCACACCCAGGTCCTTTACATGGGTGAAAAAGGTGAGATGGAAAGAAGCCTGGGTCCAATACTGATGAAAATTTTAAGATGGCGGCTGGCGAGGCGGTAGAACTTAGTCAACTTCCAATACCTCACTTGGAGACTCTCAGGTCTCAACTTGAAGAAGTAAGCTTTTGAGTGTTTCTTAAAACTGAATTAACCATTTGGATGCACTTGAAGCAAATGATTCGTTTCATGTAGGAAGTAAAATTGCTGGGAGATTCCATGAGCAAATTAAAAGTCGCCCAACAGAGATTCGGAGATTCGAAAGAAAATGTCAAGAAACTTATTAACAAGGAGTCAGGTGAGTTCTAGTATTTCAGAATGTTAAAAGAACTATTTTGTTGTGTCCATTGCACGTACTGAATGACCTTAACAAATTCGTCAACAGGAAAACCTATTCTGGTACCACTGACAAGTTCTGTATCCTTTAATCCGACCGCCAATGACTTTTCTTTCGCTTTCTTAATCTTGTCTTTCACCCATTACTTGATAAATTTCCTTAATGCGGTGAGCGGTTTGCAGAATAATTTATTGATCTCATAAGGATAAGTTACCTTCTAAGAGTGAAATGATAATTAATGAGGCAGTATGTAGTAGTAGTAGTAGTAGTAGTAGTAGTAGTAGTAGCAGTAGCAGTAGCAGTAGCGGTAGCAGCAGCAGCAGCAGCAGCAGTAGTAGAATCTTTATTTATACACGATAAGAATTAAAGCTAAAAAACTTGTGGGGTCGTGTACTTAACAAAATAGTATCTAGCCAACTTATGATTATACTAAGACACATTTTAAACTAAATAAGAAACTATAATACAATAAAACATTCAATTTCCTCTCAACTTAAAAGTACTTGTAATCAGTTAATCTAGTCCTTGCCGTCGAACCTGATAAACTAGTGAAAGTAAAGCTTGTGAAGTGATTGTTTCTCCTGAGTAGCCTCCTGAGATTCTTAAGGGCGAAACTACCTACATTTTTGTGATGGTTAACATAGTTCCATAGCACCAAACCTCTATATGCTAAAGAGTCCTTTAACAATCTAGTGTTGAAACTAGGATTGGATATTGCTTCTTGGTCTCTTAGTGAATAGCTACATTCCCACCTTATGAATATGCTATTAATTAGAGACTGAGGTAGTGAGACTTTACTTGCTCTATAAAAAAGGTTAACTATTTGAAATTTGTATTCTAAATTGATATAGTCATTGATATAGTATAAATGGAATAGTCTGACTTTGACTCAGTGTGGACACTTTCATCTTTTAAGGCCTATTAACCCTTTATACCCTAACATCAATAGCCGTGCTCACCAGACTCTTCTCTATACACTTTCTTTGGTACTGACAAGGAGAATTCAATCAATGATCAAAGCTTCTTACTGGCTGTTATTTGCTTTATTCTCATGCTGCTTATGAATGATTCAGGAGGGGGGGCATTGGGGTCTATTAGAAAATGCAAAACCAGAGAAAAAAAATCATCTAAAATCACAAAACTGCTAAAAAATTCAATTAAAACCAAAAACCATAAGCAAAACCATCAACACGGATAAATTTTCACAACCCTAATCAATCCAATACAGCGGTGACAAGAGAAGCATACAGAGGTTTGGTGGCTGTTTGAGATCAGTGGAGGTGACTGAAACCCAAGTAGGAGGTCAACTAAAAACCACCCCAGATGCCAAATCTGAAAAACATTAATATTTTTGATGAAAACCAATGACTAAAAAATGGAAAATTCACAAACTGCAATGAACACCAAAACTGTAAAACAGATTTTTTTTGGTAGTATCTGAAAATCCCATAGCCCCCATTATTCAGCAGTATTGCTATAAGAAGAAACAAGATACTAGTCATGTAAGGGTTAAACAGTTATTTAATCACAATCCTTAAGTTGGCTTCACCAGAACATATCAGTGTTGTCCTTTTCAAATGAGAGGCCTGATAAGTCCTTCTACATTTTTGAGTCAAAACAAGTTGAAACCAGAGCTCAATGTAATCTAGAAACTTATACTTAAATTGGCAGACTTGTTAAGTCCATTTATCCTTAAGTCACTTTAGATGTATGTCCCTGGGACTCTTGAAAACACAACATCTGTTTTAGTAAACATTGGAACTGGTTATTTTGTAGAAAAGGTGCGTGTAAACAAGTTTCTTTTCCTTGAGTAACTCTTAACAACTGAAAATTTTTTATTCTCACATAACTTTTTGCATGTTATGCCATTTGAAAACTTCCCACTTGCACGAATTTTAGCTGGTTCTCTGCAAGACACAGTCCTGACAGGTTTCAGTTCAACGTGATTTCAAGCCAGCTAAACCTATCTTTTTTTTTTCGTGGAGGAATGGAGATTCAAAGTTCAATTTTTTTAGCTTTTATCTTAAGCATGGTTTATGTTTTCCATTTGTTTGTTTGTCATGTTTCATACAGGGACTAAAGGAAGCCGAGGAATATTTTGGAAGAAAAGTGGATCTGGTGACTAAACAGCTGGAACTACTGCAACCTAAATTAATAGAAAAACATAAGTTAAGACAAGGTACTTCTATATGAGGCTTTCAACTGATGTTCTTTAATGTATGAATATTTATTATATCTTCCAACATTTTAATATTGTGTGTTAATAATAATAATAATGATAATAATAATGGGAATGTAGCAATGGACTTTCCACAGGGTGGCTCTCCTTGTCCACTGTTTCCAGGAGGAATTGGAGTTAAAAATGTTGTTTTTTGTGGAGGGAGGAAAACTGGAGGATGCTGAGAATCAGGAATTGAACTTGGGCCACAGCAGTGGAGAGCAAGTGCTCTCACCACTGTGCCGTACCTGCTCCCCACTGTGATTCATTTCATTTATTTGTGATCAGATTCCACAACAGGGAACAAGAGTATGGCTGAATGTTACTTTGCTTCCAACATGAAGCTTCGTAGCTCAGTTGGTAGTGGGACCCAACTAGTATCTGGGAGGTGCAGGCTTACTACTACCCATTCAAAACTTGAATTTTTTCAGGATTTCTTTTTATGCAGTTTTATTAGTGGCTGGTCATATGTAGTGTATTTTATTGATGTGTGTTTTACTTTATGAATATACTTCTAGGCAAGTTATTTTGCCATGTTTAACTTTTAATATATGGATACATGTAGATTGTAATCTCCAAAATTGGATTTTTCACACTTCTGTTGTTATTGGTCATTTACAAAAGGGTAATGTTTCTTTCTCTGCAGCTGTTCAGGATATGCTTAGTGCAAAAGTCCAAGCTCAAGTCCAAGCACAGTTAGGTGGCATTCCAGCAAAGTCTTAGATGTTTTCATCAACCAAACTTATCATTCTCAAAACTTTGAAAAATGCCAAGGATAGATGTGAGCTGAAATACCAGTACCTTGAAATTAAGGAGTGCAATGCAACTCTTTCTCTCGGGGTTCTGATAGGATTGTTTAATTAATATTGTGCCCCTTTCTAATGTGCTCATTTAATATATATGACATAAACTTTGTAAGTTTTGGTTTGATACTTTCTTTTGTGTTAATAATTTACTTAAGACATTTTTTTAACTTTTGAACTTCCAATATGTGATTTGTAATTCTCCCTTCAAGTTGTTAGACATTTTCTTGTTGATTAGTGATGAGAATTCAGTGTTATGTCTGATTCAAGAAAATGTCCTGATCAAGCTGATAAGTTTATCAATTCTTGCAACCCATTTACTTCACACTGTCATGATATAGTAGGGAGAAGTGAACTTGTTAATCACTTCTTGTAATTTAAGGATTAAATAGCTATTGTTAGAGGTTTTTTTTAAATAAGTGATCATTTATGAATCATGCAGTTATTTCATAAGCTGTCGGTTTGTGCTCTGATCATCCCAGCATCAGAAGCAGGAATCTTGACAGAGCATGGATTGAGATATATGTACCATGTTATGCTGTGGATGAAATTCTTTGCAAATTTAACCACTGTAAAAGAACAAGAAGAATTGACAGGCAGTGTTTGGTAGAATCCAGTAGGTTTTAACTTATTCATATATAATTTGTTGCATTTATTACAGTTATGTCAATTATGAAGTGGACTTTCCAATAATCAGGTTAGCATGATTTTTAAGTTTTTTTTTTCCAAGATGGTAGTGATACACCTCAGTCCATTTTGCTTTTTTTTTGTTTCTGTGTAGTGGTTTTGCCCTAGCATTTTAACCAGCGAGACATATTAATCAATTAGAAGTCAGACTATCACCTCCAGAGTTTACTTGTGCATGAAAAGTGCAGCAACTCAGTGATTCACCAGTTCTATGTAGAGTGTGAGCTTTATTACATTTATTTAGTTATTTATGCAGAGTCATATGAAAAACTTAAAAATTGATTGAAATAAAAAGAAGAAAACCATTTGTCACAGTGAGTTCTTCCCTTATGCTTTTTACTGTAAAGCCTGCAGTTAGTTGTGTTAGCATAGCTCTACTCTTCCAAGATTGTGGTGTTTATTCTCGATATTACGTACCCTACATTTCCTCTGATGTTATTTCTGAGAAGTTAGAGTTAAATCAAATGATATTCCTAGTTAACATTTTTATCCTAATTACTTGTCTGCCATACTATATCTTGATGCTCTTCAAACTTCAGAGAGAAAATAATTTTAATTCACTTGGAATGGAATGCAAAGCTTTTTTATTTTTGAGAAATTTAGATCACATTGATTCCCAAATGTGTTGTTTTAAATGCCAAATTTCTTTTGTGAACCTCCTCTTTTGTTTGTTTTTGATAAATACTTTTAATTTTAATTTATTAGGATTATTTTCAGATGATAAATTGTTTCATAATTTTTTAAATATCTTTTTGTTTGTAAAAAAAATTATAACTGCATTTTTTAAAGTTAGACCTTGAGGTATATGTTAGAAAACCTGAGAGCTAATGGTATCTTGCTTTTTTCAACTTTATCATAATTTCAGCTTATTTTATTTAGTTTGCACAGAAGTTTGTATTGTATATGGATAAAGCCTTCTCTTTCTGGAAGCCAGCTATTTCTTAACAACGTGTGACTATTGAAATACCCTTTTAATAGTTTTGAAGGGAAGATAACTATTGCTATGAGACTTTTCACATTTGATTTTTGTGATTGCTAGGAAAAATAGGTAAATGAAAAAAAAAAAATTGAGTCCACTCCCAGGAAAAAACCATGAACTTGACCTATTGCAGTTTCATGACTGATTTGGCATAATCTCATTATTTCTTGGTGCCAACGTTTGGTTCGATCGTCACATTTTAATTAATCATTTTCAATAAAACCACACGAAAACTGGTTGCTATTTTGATTTTGTCATAACAAAACCATCGACTCTATTGAATAGACACCTCATTTGCATATTTTTGCATATATTATTACTGTAAAGTTTACAATCGGCCGATCAACATGACAACAGAGCAAAACCTATGAAGAACATTGATCGCTATCCCTTAATGGACGCATAAAATTACCCAAAATTTATTTCCTACGTTCTGAACTTCGATAAAATTCATCTGCGTGACAAGGTACATCTGATCAATTTAGATCGTGGAAAGACTTCGGTAGTCTTTGATTCTTCATTTGACGTAAAGACGTAACCCTTGGTTGTTAAAACGAAAATGTCAGACGGAGAAGCAGAAAACGTTAAGGTGGCCGTTAGAGTGAGGCCTTTTATATCCTTTTTACGCCATTATTATCCAGTTAGTCTAAATACGCAGCCAGTGCAATTAGGTTTGTGTGAGTTTAGTTGTGGGACTTGTCAACGCATGCTAGTGGTTTACCTTTCGAGTAGTTTTACGTCCCAAATCAGATTATTATATTGGCCGTATGAGTTTTCTCATGGTACTCCAGACCACTGTTTCCTCTCCCATTGGGAGCGTTATCTTTATATTATTTCATAACGTTATAACTTTCACTTCTAGATGTTTGCACAATGGGCAGGCTTTGTTTTTCTTTTTGTGCACGCAGTGGTTGGGCAGAAATGATATCGATCGATCCGTCTCACGGTGTACCAAAACTTTCTAAACGATTTCGATTAAGACTGCATCTTATGTATAGAAGTCACCATGACGTGAAGTTTGAAGAACAGTACGACTAACGTTAAAAAAACAGCTGGTAATGCAAGGTACAGCTTACTATGAGTAAAGCGGGTCCACATCAGTAAAAAAAACGTTTAAAAAACAGCTGGTAATGCAAGATACAGCTTACTATTAGTATAGCGGGTCCACATCTGTAAAAAAACGTTTAAAAAACAGCTGGTAATGCAAGGTACAACTTACTATAAGTAGAGCAGGTCCACATCAGTAAAAAAACGTTAAAAAAACAGCTGGTAATGCAAGGTTACAGCTTACTATAAGCATAGCAGGTCCACATCAGCTTTTATGCTGCCTTTTATTCATGACCTGCTTTAACAAATAAACCATCTATGTATGTATGTATGCATGTATGTATGTATGTATGTATGTAGGTGTGTGTATGTATCTTGTGTGACGTTGGAGGTGAGAAATCTGAACCAAGGTCACGACTTCAATAGATTTGTAACTGGACGAAGGCGGAGAAAATCTCAGAAGCACTACACTTCCATTCCTATTAATTATAGTGTTTTAATCACCGTCCAGTTACAGTTTAACTAATGGACGAGAGAAAATTGATTTTAAAGCAAACTTCTCAAGATAAATAAATTAAAGTCAACAGGCTGTCCACTAGGGTTCATTATCCATTCGAAGGAGATCATTAAAACACCTTGAAGCTCTGTTAAAACGTCGTCTGTACTTTTATTCACAGTCTGCCAGTGATAAGCAACAGATTTGCATTCTAACAGCTTTTCTCAAGCTGGAGCTAGAGATTTCCTTAACATTTCCCACAATAAACGTGAAAAGGCCCGAAATGCAACTTTGATAGTTGAAATGAAAGGTCAATCGACGTACTTGAAAAATCCAGAAGAACCTGGAGAAGAACCTAAAAAGTTCACCTTTGACTACAGTTATTGGTCTCATGATGGATTTGAAGAGAAACCTAATGGTTACTTGGGACCTGCCAATCCAAATTATGCTGATCAGGTACTTCAGATAACAATCATTTTGTTAGAGTTGTGATCTTCTGAGAAGTCTAATAGGGCAGTTGTCTTGAGTCTGTTAAGAGTGGAGGCCAGGTGCTTTTCTCTCATCAGGAGGCTGTGAATGGGTGCAAATCATGACCTTCTGAAATCTGAGCCCTTCTGCAAGTTATGGGAGCGTCAGCTCCCTTGACCCCACGCATGTGCCTGTTACACTACTTCTTTCACTTTACATTTCCTCATGGGACAACGACAGACTTATGGCAGGAAATCATGTGACCACATCCCTTCTTTATGCATTTCTTGGAGTGGATATAGGTGTGCTTTTGATGTGGATTTGGAAGGCCTTGTTGCTGAAATCTTCATTTCCTTACTCTCTAACCTTTGTAGAAAAGGCATCACTCATAGTCTGATCCTTTTTCCTTCTTTCTCTTCTGTAAAGAAAAAAAGAAGGGATGTGTGAGAAGGACAGGAAGCAGACACTGTAAAATATCAGACAGAAACAGAATTTGTGATAACATTTTGTCAAAGAGGAGGTGGGGTAGACAAAATGAAGGAAAAAGGGTACCAAACAAGATCAGACCTTTTACACCTCTTTTGACTAAGATATTTTTAAATTGATTTGACAGATGAAGGTGTATAATGATCTCGGTAAAGGAGTTCTTACAAATGCTTGGGAAGGATTCAACACGTCACTCTTTGCTTATGGACAGACTGGTTCAGGAAAATCTTGGTCAATTGTTGGATATGGTACAAACAAAGGTAACATCAGTCCAATTTCTCACATGCTCTTGTTTTGTGTATTTTTTACTTTTTTGGTGTTGTTGACTCAAGGTTACAGCATATATTTTATTCACTAGTTTTGATTTTTTACTGTTCTCCTAACTCAATGCATTCAATCATCCCAAATATTAGGTCTTGTGATGGGTAGAATCCTGAACAATGGCTGCTTGTCGAGTGCACTAGTCAGGTCACTTTAGTAAGGAAATTATATTGCCCTAGTAAGTGAGTGATTCTAAAACAATTGTTCTATGTTTGATTACAGGCATTGTGCCAATCTTTTGTGAGGAGATTTTCAAAGGAATTGATGAGAAAAAGCAAGGAGGAGATCAGGCTCAATATGAGGTACTAGCAATCTGTTTAACTTCTTATGATCTTGGCTCGTAAAGTACTTCATTCAATTTGAAGCATACCTGAATTTAAAGGAATAACTAAAACTAACTGCCATTTTAGTTATTAAAACCAGTTTTGCTGCACCAGCTGTAGTAAAGAGACCACAGAATGGTACTTTGACATCAATCAGGCAGCCATTTAATATGTACATGTGTGCTAACCCCCCCATAAGATACTACAGCTGACTTTTTTTGCAGACCACATTTAAGTGTTGTCCTTCGAGATGCCTACAGCAGGATCAATTTGTCAAAAATAATCCCTGTAAATTTGTGGCAGCAGGCCTAGATGGGTATCGTGTCATGACTTATGATCTCAGAAACTTGTGACATATGATGTAAAGGAAACAAATAAGAGATGGACAAACTCGTCAGGAGTAAAATGTTAGCAACATTTGATGTTTAATTGCAGGTGTTTTTCAGTATGCTTGAAATCTACAATGAGAAGGTGCGTGACCTTTTGAACCCTTCCAAAAATAAGGGAGGCCTGCGGGTGCGGCAACATCCCTCAAAAGGATTCTATGCTGATGGACTTAAGACTGTACCTGTGAGTGAGTATAAAGAGATTGAAATGCGCATGGAGGAGGGAACAAAAAACAGGACTGTAGCAGCTACTAACATGAATGCAACAAGCAGGTATGTAATGGTAGTTGAAATATCTGTTGTTGGGAGGAATTTTGAAAATTCCTTTCATGGAAGGCTTTTACTGTTCAAAATCCCCATCATCCTGCCAAAAAATTATCATTTGACTGGCCTCATTCCTCTCTTTGTCATACTTTGATTTTAAAAGTGACAAAATATTTTTTATGAAAACTGGAAATATTTTTAATACAAACATCATTTCTTGCTTAGATGAAGAATTCTTTTAGTACTCACAAGACAAATAGCCCAGGACTTTTTCTTTATGGTTCACAGATTTTCAGTCATGATTTGAATTGATTTAGTTCTGCATGAACTTGTGTATTTTTCAGCCGTGCACACACTATAGTTGGTGTGAAATTTGTGCAGAAGAAAAAGAACGAAGCTGGTGAGGAGACAGCCAAAACATCTCTTATCAACCTTGTTGACTTGGCTGGAAGGTCAGTGGTTTTTGGTCTTTGAAACTCTTTTACTGGCACATGTGCATGGGGTATGCAAATCAAAAGCTACAACCTTAATTATCAGTCTTGCCAGCTCCCATCTGCTGACAGATTTCTTCAGCCAAAATAGAATAATTAGTAGTTTTTACAGCAGTGCTTTAACTAAGTTACACTTTCTTTAAAGAAATAAGCTGACAATGTAAACAAAATAAGCTTAAACAAATGTAAGGAAAGAAAAGTCCACTTGATGAATCATAATTCCTCCAAAATCCCTAATTTCATGCAAGGAAATACTGGAGATTGAAGGTGGTATCAACTTTCAAAGATGTGATCTGGTCCTTTACCTCAATAATCCTGATACTCTGAGGATAAAAAATCATACTCCTCTGAATCTAAAAGAGTTGACTATCAGATGTTTTTGCACTAATGATCATGTTATCTGTGAGTAATTATAAATTCAAAATTATCTTGCTGTCAATAGTGAGAGAGCAGACTCTACTGGAGCCACAGGAGACAGACTGAAAGAAGGAGCTGCCATTAACCAGTCATTGTCCAGTCTAGGAAATGTTATCGCAGGTCAGTGTTGAACTTTAACCTAAAAGCTGATGCAAATTGGGGGTTAGCTCAATTGGTTAGCTCTACCAATTGAGTGAACCGCCTCCTGGTTAGCTCAATTGGTAGAGGGCCGGACTGTTGTGCGGGAGGTCGAGGGTTCAAGCCCCGGCCAGACCAACACACTCAGGGTCTTAAAATAACCGAGGAGAATTTGCTACCTTTCTATAATATCAAGAAATGGATAGATATTCTAGTCTTCTCGGATAAGGACGAATAAACCGTAGGCCCCGTCTCCTGCAGGGTTAGGGGTAGGAGACGTTAATTTCCCACGCACGAGATTACTGTGTGGTGGATGTCCTCCCCTGGGGTGGGATGGGTGGGT